TGCAAGGTCTCCCTGCTCATGAAAGCACATGTATAGGTCTGTCTGAAGTTTGTCAATGAACATCTGAATGATTCAGAGGAGAACTGGGTGAAAGTGTTGTGGTCAGATGAGATCAAAATCGAGCTCTTTGGCATCAACTTAACTTGCCGTGTTTGGAGGAGGAGGAATGCTGCATATAACCCCAAGAACACCATCCCCACCATCAAACTTAGAGGTGAAAACATTATGCTTTGGTGGTGTTTTTCTGCTAAGAGGACAGGACAACTGCACCGCATCAAAGGGAAAATGGATGGGGCGATGTACCGTCAAATCTTGGGTGAGAACTTCCTTCCCTTAGCCAGGGCATTGAAAATGGGTCGGTGATTATTATTCCAGCATGACCCAAACCACACTGCCAATGCAACAAAGGAGTGGCTCAAGAAGAAGCACATTAAGGTTCTGGAGTGGCCTAGCCAATCTCCAGACCATAATCCCATAGAAAATCTGGGGAGGGAACTGAAGGTTCAAGTTGATAAACGTCAGCCTCGAAACCTTAATGACTTGGAGAGGATCTGCAAAGACGAGTGGGACAAAATCCCTCCTAAGATGTGTGCAAACCTGGTTGCCAACTACAAGAAACGTCTGACCTCTGTGATTGCCAACAAGGGTTTTGCCACCAAGTACTAAGTCGAAAGGGGTCAAATACTTATTTCACTCATTGACATGCACATCAATGTATAACTTTTTTGACATGCGTTTTTCTGGATTTTTTTATTTTTTTATTCTGTCTCTCACTGTTAAAATACACCTACCATTAAAATTATAGACTAATCATTTCTTTGTCAGTGGACAAACGTTCAAAATCAGCAGGGGGTCAAATACTTTTCCCTCCCTCACTGTAGATATTACTGAAAGAAGCTTTAGGAAGTAATTTATATACATTTCAACTCTCTATGATGCTATGAGAGTAATACCTCACCATAGATCAGGTCGTATTGATAGGGCGAGGTACTGGGGCAAATATATACTGGCTAGACAAGTTGGAGTGACAGCATAGCTGACTTAAAATTTTTTTCCAGTTATTCTGACCTTAAATTTGAAATTCAATTTGGATTTTCACTTTAGTGAATAACCCGAATAGATTGTACTACCAAAGTGTCACTTTACAGTTATCAAGTTGGAAATAAATGTCCAAGCAGCTGTTTGCTATTGGTTAATATACTACATTTTGCTGTATTTGAATATACATTTTTGAAAAATTTTTTGCATTTGTATTTTTTTTTAATAAATGTATTTTTAATTTATTTAATGTAAGAAGATGTCATACAGTGGTGTGTGTCCTTTATATTTCTGAATAGTCTGTGTATTTCTTGAGTATAACAACTCTCAGTCACAGTATATTGTGCATGTGTAGAGTGTTAGAGCCCATGTACTGTACCATGTTCTAAGTGGGTGAAAGGGGATTGAAGAATCTTCAACGGATACAAGTCCCACATCAACATTATGTAAATACATGAAGATCATGATGCCACACTTAGAAATAACAGGGGAATTTTTATCTAACTATCATAAATCGTCAGACAAAACCATATTTAAACCTAAAGAGGTCTTATTGCAAGATTTTGTTGTATATGTCTGTGTCTCTCACACACCCAGGGGGAGATTTATTATAGTGTCATGTTCTGAAAAATGTGCAGCGTTCTAAAAGGTGGCAAACCCCCCTGAAAGCAGTAGAGGCAGCAAGTGCATCCAGTTTACAACTTTGTACCACTTTGATAAATCTCCCCAAAGTGTTTGCACCCAACCACTCATTAAAGGGACACTATAGAGGCAAATATGCAAACCTGTATTCCTGGTACTAATGCTTCTTCAGCCTTCCCCCTCCCTCGTGCCCACCCCCCACATCGGTGAATAACGGGTTAAAACCCCCAGTGCTGAGAGTCGTCAATCGATGAGGGGGCACTAATACCCATGTGCGTGCACATATTAGGCCTCCACATAATAAAGCATTGAATAATTGCTTTCCTATGGGGAAATAGCTGATGCTGGATGTCCTCATGCAGAGCGTGAGGTTACCCAGCATCAGTTTCCGGATTAATAGTCCGGTAACATTTCGGAAGCGGCTCTAGTGTCTGTCTGGTAGAAGTGCTGCAATGTAAACAAGGTAAGTGCCCAGACCACTTTAATGAGCTGAAGTTCTCTGGGTGCCTATAGTGTCCCTTTAACAGCTCAAGCTAAACATTCAGAAAGCTATTCAACATAAAAAAAAATACATGTTCTATTTATTGTAAGTCCCATGTTTTGTAGCAATAAACCCTGTTAATATGGATCAGACTAACTCTTGCACCAATTTTTAAGGCTTGATTTTATTGAGATTCATAGACTATTCACAGTCATTGCTGTCTCCTGTAGGGGGTATACAGCCTCTATATCTCTGTTCTGTACACTCTGCTAAACCAAACCACCCACCGAACCTCCCAGTGTACTAACACAATTCTATTATTACAATTGTTTTAGTTCAAATAGCTTACAAAGGACGTGGGAAATGGACTTTGAGATGGTAAAGAGAGCAAACCATTATAACTAAGTAGGTTTTAATTCTGCATATGCATGTTTGCAACACAAAGAAGAAAAGAGTGCAGTATTCCACTGGTCACAATAATGTGCCCTATATGCATTGTAGAAAGAATGCCTAATCAGCAATTTTAGATCAATATGTTGAGGGAGATTAATAAAAGTGTTATATTCTGAAAAGTGTGCAAATTTATAGAAATGCCTGCTGATTCCAATTGTTTCCATGGTGATTGCCCCACTTTTAGAACGTTGCACCACATTTAAGAGCATGACACTTTGATAAATCTAGCCTATTATCTGCATTGAACTGCTGAATTCCAGCTAATGCTGTTAAGCTGTGTCTGGAAATTGTTCTTCACCTATATGGAACATTTGCTAGCCATTAAGCTAGCACAATGTGTAAATGAAAACATGAGGGTATTTTAATGGGACCCAGTCACATTATACAAGTCACAGCCCCTTTAACAATAGAATGTACTATCTGCCAATTTCAAATAAGCTGAGGCATGGTCTTTGATGCCATGTAATTTGTCACTAAAATGGTACCTCCTAGTATTTACATTTAAATAGTCTTATGTAGTGTAGTGAAACATTATGAGACAATTTGCATGATATTTATATGATTAAATATATGATATTATATATATGATTGTCATCTTGCTGAAAAGAAATCTCTGTGTGGGTTAATTTAAAATGATCATTTATACATTTATCTTTAACATGACTATTGTGGTTAAATATAACAGTGCAAAATATTGCTGTAATAACATATGAAGAACAGTTATTTCTAGTCAAATCAATCAGTCTGAAAATGCCAGTGCCCTCTGGCGCCTGCTCCCACAAGCCCCTCTAAATAAATAGCTGGGAAAAAAAATGTTTTACATTTACCTGATTCGCTTGCCAAGGTCCTGGGTTGCGCTCCTTCGCCACCAATGTCAGCTAATAGGGGAACAAGATGGTCCAGGCATTCAAGGTGTGTAACAAGGCAGTTTTATTAAAGAATACAGTTACTTTTTACCTCTGCTGAGGTCTTTATCAAGTTTGATGAAGACCCCAGCATAGGTCGAAATTTGCTGTATTCTTTAATAAAACTGCCTTGTTACATACCTTGAATGCCTGGACCATCTTGTTCCTTCTACTACTGACTGAGGTCTAGGTCCAGCTAAGCACCTTATTTTTTGGATGGAGTACGCAAGACCCCTTGGTTCTACAGCAAATGGAGGGACCTGATGCGCAAGTGTGGTAAGCACCGCATGCGCATTAGGCCTTCCCTATAGGAAAGCTTAACCTTAATGCTTTCCTATAGGGATTTTCTAGGTGCTTGACGTCCTCATGCACAATGTGACGATAGCCAGCGACATTTCATGGAGTCAAACTCCATTTAACTGCAGGAAGCACGTCTAGTGGCTGTCTACTTGACAACCACTAGAGGCAGCCTTAACCCTGCAATGTAAACATTTCTCTAAAACTACAATATTTTACAGTGCAGGGTTAAGGGGACAGGAACACTGCACCCAAACCACTTCAATGAAATTGCTTGCAGTGCCAGTCTCCTAAGGGAAGCTAAGTCACTATTTTGTCGAAGCGCCTCTAAATGCTCTCACTATGACTTGTTTTCACTTGCAGTGTTAAAACGAGGAGGAGTAGGCATGGAACTCAGGCCACTTCATTGAGATGAAGTGGTCTTGGTGCCTATAGAGTCCCTGTAACTGGTCTAGTGTGGGCTCAGGAACCAGTTTGGTGTAAAGAAAACCAATGGTTTAGAAATTACTGAATAAGATAACAATAGCATTACAGTAACGATTTAAAGGCGTGAATTTATGGCTGAAATTATTAGAATTTTATATTAATGTCAATCATATTGTTAAATAAATTACCTATGTATACATACAATATATAAAATTACCCATATATATAAACCTTATTGTAAATAGTAAAAAATAGAACTTTAGCTAGAATCTGTCTATTAGTTGTATATTCTAGAACTTTATCAAGCTGCCAGAATAATAAATGGTGCACTTCTTGCCTTCAGACATAGATTCAAAGATACTCACTGTTTGACCTTATTGAATAACTGATGTTAGGCCTGTGAATTGCCCATAATGTTCAGCATGTGTTATATAATATTATAGAAATGAAAAGGTCAGCAACTCCTTTAGTTGGGGAGAGCTGAGACACTTCTGAATAGAGTGTTTGCAGTACTTTAATTATATAGTGAGTAATAACATTCTAGTACCAAGTGACTTAAAAATTAAGTTTTCCTCTAACCAGGCTATTCGGTGGCTCATAAAAAAGATTAACCCCTGAAATATGGACTGCACTGATAAATGGATCATAGTTATGCCAAACGGAATCACAAATGAAATAGAGCAGACTTTTTGTTTACCACATTTTTCCTTTTATTATTTACAAATCTGCCCCTTGTAAAAACAAACACTAGATTTGTACTTGGATATTTTCTTCGAGATCACGTTACATTTCAAGATTGCAGCAAATTCAACACTCGACACACCTGTCTGTATGTTACATACCATAAGGGGAGCTGTTTTGTGCCATATTTTAAGCTTCAGCTTTTTAAAACTGAAAGATTGTTTTTTTTTTTTGTTCTCCTAAGTGAGTCACTATATGTTTATTTAGATGTTGGTTAAACACTACACTGCATTCATACTGTTCTTTGTTCTCCTCGTTGATCTTTTATAGTGTGTTTGAGTTGGTTTAGGGGTGCTTCAGTATGACATGGAGCTAACTTTATTCATGAATTAATGGTTTTCAGACTGTTCGCTGCATCTTTCAAAACTACAGCACAGCGCCCTCATGTGCTGATATCAGGCAGAAAGTAAATAAAAATCAAACACCAAAGTCTTCCCCCTCCCCCACTACTAGAATATTTCTGGCTGAGATCTTGTATAGGTTAAAAGTTAAAAAATTATATATAATTAATTCTAGTATGATATGGTAAGGCATGTATCCATTATGTCCAAAAATAAGAAAGAAAAAAAATCTTACTGTGATGACTTTAATAAACTGAAATATGCATTGATTTGTATAATTACAATTAAGAAATTAGGAAATTGCAAACAAGTAACCAGTTACATCCGTATATCTCTTTTTCCAAAGGTTAGAAAGTTATGATTGTATTAAATAGTTGGTGCATTAATTATATTTGCTTGTTCTCCAATGATTCTGTATATTTGTATTTTAAATGGTTTCCACCATATGTCTTAGGACAAGTCACCACAGGCTAGCCCTTGTTCAAAAATAAAGTAGTGTGTACTAGCCCTATTGAGAACTGTGTGTCCTGTCTGGTTTGTTCAAGGATTCCAGTAGTAGAGTCTTCAGACTTGCTTCCTGGTTTTCATTGAGCTAGGCCCTTGAACCACATACCTGCCTTGAAGAAAGAGGACAAGCAGAAGGGTTGACACCTGGGGGATGGAGGGATGGGCAGGGAAGTCAATACGTCTCTGGGTAGAGCGGGCACAGGGGTTGAAATCCCTTTGAGAAGGAGGCACAGGCAGATGGGCCTGCGCATTTAGACCAGCTGGGGGGGAGAGATAGCATGACATTGGTCTCAGTAAGGATATCTCTCAGAGGTGACATTCCTATAATTGTCGGTCCACCCAGATACAAGATCAGGTACTAGAGAGAGCTACAGTGACCATATGGGAAGCCAAATCCCTACTGAATAGTACAAAGCAGATACTGTGAAGCATATTTTTTACAAAGAACCAAGTATTTCTGATAACTGCCATTAAAGGACCACTATAGGCACCCAGACCACTTCAGCTTAATGAAGTGGTCTGGGTGACAGGTCCAGCTAGGGTTAACCCTTTTTTCTATAAACATAGCAGTTTCAGAGAAACTGCTATGTTTATATTAGGGTTAATCCAGCCTCCAGTGGCTGCCTCATTGACAGCCGCTAGAGGCGCTTGCGTGCTTCTCACTGTGAAAATCACAGTGAGAAGACGCCAGCGTCTATAGGAAAGCATTATGAATGCTTTCCTATGAGACTGGCTGAATGCGCGCACATCTCTTGCCGCGTATGCGCATTCAGCCGAGGAGGCGGAGAGGAGGAGGAGAGCTCCCCGCCCGGCGCTGGAGAAAGAGGTAAGTGCCCTTCCTCTCCCTAGAGCCCGGCGGGAGGGGGACCCTGAGGGTGGGGGCACCCTCAGGGCCCTATAGTGCCAGGAAAACGAGTATGTTTTCCTGGCACTATAGTGGTCCTTTAATCCCTGTATCTGAAATTCTTACCTGCCTTATATTTATGAGCTTTTGGATCTTTATGCCCAAGAGAATTTTTTATTAGCAGGTTAAATATCCTTGCTTTGAGTGTAAACTGAAACTTAGTATGTACGTGTAATCAGGGAAATTAAACCAATAGCATACTCTGACTGGAAGGCAGACATGAAGCAAGGATAGGTGAACTGAAAACAGACAGGAGCAGGAAGGGGCTGGATAGGTTCAGAGATTTCTAGATATCTATATGACAAATCACTGCTTTCCCTGGTTTCAGCATTTGACTAAATGCAGCCCCTGTTCTGGAGTGAAATTAATTTGCATACAAATAAACGTCAGATCCACCTTTTATATTATTATTTATTTTTTTATACTACAGCCATCATTATTATTATTATTGATTATTATTATTGATTATGGGGATGTAGTGTATGCACCTGTGCCTCAAACCCACCTTCTAGAATGTAATTACTTCACCCACCATTGTGACATGTTAAAAGAGCTAAACTGGCTGTTGCTGGAATCCCGACACACTCTTCATCTTTCCAGCCTTGTGCATAAGAGCTTCTCTGGGAAGCTCTCCCCAGCCGTTCCCACATCCTCTAACCTCCGATCCAGTACCAGCACTTTATTTAGCACACCGCAATACAAAAATAAAGTGGTTTAATCTTCGTTTTCCTACAGAGCACCGCAATTATGGAATAACATCATGGACACAGTCAAATCTTCATTCAGTCTAAGAGATGCAACCTATTATCTGCAACCTACCTATTATCTGTTTAATTTATATTTGTGTTTATGTATATATATATATATATATATATATATATATATATACACTATATATAATATATATATATACACTATATATAATATAGTATATTGTATTGTTTTTTGTAATGTTATATTGTAAAAATGCAGTGTTTGTGGCCCCAGGATATTCTTGAAAACTAGCGAATATATTATTATTATTATTACTGGAAGTGCCAGGTTACAGATTACTGTAACATTGAATAGTTTTACAAATAAAGGGATATACAGGTAATTGGGTAGGGTAAATTGTAGGGAAGGCTCTGTCTGTGAAAGTTTACTGTCTACAATGAGATAGAACCTTGGTGGAAAATATACCTTCCAACTATCCCAGACCAAGTGGGACAGTTCCACTTTACATTCTATGTTTCGTGGGTTGTAGTGAACATGTGCACTGGGATGGCACAACCCTTCTATTGCCTCAAGCTTCACTGGTGTTGTGCATTGTTTCATTCATAAAGGTCTCCTTATCTGTCCTTTTTGTTCTTACCCTCCCTAATGTTGTGAGGTATGGAAATATATATGGAAATATAAGTGACCCACATCTGACCCACTTTTTAGCTATAATTTCGCTTCCAATAGCCTCCAAACCATAATTCATTGGCTTTTATTGTCCTTACTAAAACAATTCCCTGTTAAATATACACATACATTAAAAAGCATCACCATGTTATTTCCACTTCTACTTCTCACCGTTGCCACACTGTCATCCCCATCGTTGTTATAGCCGTTATAATTTATACAAATATATTGTAGATGCTATTTCAGTGTTTTCACCATGAGTCTCCCAAAAGCTCACAGCCAACCTTCATTAAGAAATTTGCAGAGTATAATACATGCCTGATGCACATATAGCTGGAAGAGCATTCTTTTGTCAAATAATAGACTTTTCAAAGGGCACATATTCTTAGTCATGTGCCTCACATGAGAACAGACGTTTGCTTGTCACATTTCATTAAATCTGATCTTGCTCATCAACTGACCCTCTCTCCTTGTTTTGTTTTTCCTTCATCTTATAGGGCAACATGGCCTGGAACAAACAAACTGTGCAATGATATGGTTTTTGTCTAATGACTAACATCTCCTTCATTAACTGCAAAAACAGGTTCTGTAGTCTTTGGAAGGATGGCACATACATGTGACATGTAAAACATATACTGTTGACTGTATCGTATGTAAATAATCATGTGTATATTTTTGGGGGAGTGTGGGGGAAAAGAGAGGGGTAATAATATTCCGTTTAGGCAATGACCACTTGCAGGTAGATTGTAGAAACAATTGAAGGCTTATCAGAGAGTTTGCATGAAAATTTATCCCCTCCCCAGTTCAAAGATAGCAGATTGACTGTTCCATTCTGTATAAAACACCTCTGTCAGTCAAAAGAAACATGTCACCTTACACTACGATACTGAAGGGGCCTAGACGGCAGGTCATGCCTAATGAGAAGAATGGATGCTTCAGGGAGAAAAGAATGAAGAAGTAGCTTTTGTTTCCTTCAGGGAAATCCTTTCATGGTGAGAATCTCCACACTTTCAAACCGTTGTAACACAGAACTGGTGTTTGAGAGATTAGAAAAGAGAATGCCTGGGCAGAATGATGATGATGTGGATTATACCGAGCTGTTAAGAAAGAGAGAGGTTCTTTAATACACAGTTGTGACGAAGACAGCAAGTGAATGTTATTTAAGTCTGTATTTGAGAAGCAAACACAATAATGCTTCATCTTCTATCAGTTACAGATAAAGTATCGTGACAGCTGTGAAACTGTTCATAAAACAGAAAACAATGTACTCGTTCATTTTTACCTGCAAGGGTTAATAAAACAGATTCTGATGGGCTTGGGAATTAGCAGTAAATTGTTGTTGGGACATATTATCTCAATCTCAGGAAATATTATTTGCTTTTGGCCAGCAGTTTACTGTTTTTTCCCATATGTGCAGTCAACATTGATAGATACATTCCTATCTCATTTTTTCCATACTTTCTTATGTCTCATTTACACTCGGCATTTGCCCCCAAAGGCACACTGTGACTTTTCAATCACCTTTCCACACACATTTTCCAAGCATGTTTGTAATTTCTATTGTCCCCATCTTTATCTCCACCCTGTACAAAGTTTAATTTCTCTTTAAAGTGTCTGCAGTGTTCTAGAAACAGCACGGTTCTCTGTGCATGGCCCTAGAGAAAACTGTCATAATGTATTTTTATTATTATCTAAACTTGATTAGTTGTAATATAGCACTTGCATAACAGCTGAAATCTGTCTCAAATCCTATTTTTGAGACTCCTAAATTTGTGCATCATATCAGGATTTGTGAACACACATTATCTCTCAAATACCTGCACGGTCTTCAGTCAATCAAAACAATTTAAAGGATATCTGTCACTGTCATGAAATGCATATAACACGGTGAGCTGGTTTCAACATGTCTTTATTGCAGAGCTTAATGTATGGCCAGACACCATCTTTAGCAACAGCATTACATTTAAAAAATAGCAATTAGTTTCCCCAGTCACCTACAGACCTGCCCCCTTTCTGTGATGTCACTCAGGCTCTCATCACGTCTCCCCCTTTTTAATAACAATATATATATTTATTTATTTTTTAAACAGACAAATAAAACAAATAAGCAGAAGAAGAAATAACTATTCTATAATAACCATACTATCTTGGACATCGGGGAAGACCACCCTAGTCCACAGTGACTATGGGATTATTCTGTCACTGTTCTAACAAAACTGCCAATCTCGATTGGAAGCTTCACAACTCTACCACTCAAAGTCATTCTGCAAGAACATTCCCGAGTCATTGTGAGAATGGTTGTGACTGCACTGGAGGCAACGCTGTTTCCACACCGGATTCTTGTCTCGAGGGAGGTACAATACTCATGACTGGGGACTCCATCTGCTGTGATCGCAAATTCTCAGCACCTAACTCCTCAGGGTTTGGTTGAAGGTGCCCTGAGTGTTTTCTATTGTAAAAAAAATCTGTAATTCCATTTTACCTCCTCACCCCTCCTTTGAATGTCTTCTGGAAGCATAGGGGAGGCAGGCTGGAATGCCCCCACAGAAGGCAACGTGGTCCGAATCTGTCGTCATAACATCAGCTGTGCAGAGCTACATTCTGTGGCTTTAATATGGGTTGCCCTGTATGCTAGCAGGGCCATGTAAAGTTCTGGTTGCTTCAAAACAAACTTGGTGATTTGAACCGCACTCTCAGCTATCCCATTGACCTGTGGGTAATGTGGACTGGAAGTAGATTGAAAGAAATGATGCTCTCTACTAAAAGATCTAAACTCCATAGAAGCAAACGGCATCCCATTGTTGCTCAAAAAACTCCAATGGTATAACTCAGCTGGCAAACGTACTTTTAAGATGGTTGATGTCAGTCATGCTGTTTGCCTCACCTAAGGGTGCAATTTTGAAATGCTGGAGTATTAGTCTTTAACAACCAGATATATCTTTCCCGTGAGTACACACAAAAATGCAGCTATCTTCTGCCAGGGGCCGCGGGGTAGATATTAATGGTTCTCTCCTCTGTGTATGCCAACTTTCACAGCAAAATGCAGATCTTGATATGTATTCTGCAATGTCAGTGCTGACTCTGTAGTCTGGAGAGTGGAAAACCACTACTGGTTGCATCCCCAGCACATGCACTTCCTGAACATTGAATCTTAGTAGTCTCATCAAAAGTCATACGTGTTTTTCAATGGAAACAGTGGTCAGTCTCCAGAGTGAGCCCTTCCAAGCCCACCAGATAGCTCTGAAGTGCTCACAGTCTCATTTAGGTGTTTTAAATCCACACAAATGCGAACTTTCCAGTTTTTCTTAGCAACAGGCAGAATGGCAGCACATAAGTCAGTTGCATCAGTCACTTTCTCAATAACACTAATACGATCCATTCTCATTCTCAAGTCTTGCTTCAACCTGTGGCAAAAGTGTGAATGGAATTCTATGAGGTGTAGTAATACCGTATGGGATTGCATCAATCTTTTTTTTTGACAATCTTTATTTTTTATTTTTATTGAAACAAATGGTAAGTCAACTTATAGGGTATAACAAGTTTGTAGCGTCCGTGATACATTGGGTGTGCATAGTAACTTATGATAAACAATGACATTATTGTCTTTACTATCTCTAGCCCCCTCTTTGTTGTGCTTGGTGTTATAATGTGTTGTTATGTGAGTGGCACTATTCAGTGCATTTTCCTTGGCGTCTATGTGGGTGATCGAGTCTCATGTAGCTTGTGAGGACCAATTTGCCTTACGTTCTGGGTTAGTATAGTCCTCTGTATGGATTGCATCAATCTTAAAATCAATCCTTACACCCATCACTGTGAGAGTAACTCAACATTTTTCATCAGAGCCGGACTGTTCAATCACAGACCCTACAAAGGACACATCTTGTGTCTCTTGGTCACTCTTCAGATGCATTTCCTTAACAAACTCAGATTTGCAAACCACCTCAAAATGGCACTTCCTGCACCTCTTATCTTTAGCAGGGCATAACAGCTTTGTTCTGTGAGTGCGGCTACATCACGTGCAACAAGTCTGTTGAAAAACCTCTACATCACGTGCAACAAGCCTGTTGAACCACCTGTTTGCTGCCTGCAGTCTACTACTCACACTCTGTGTTTCGCTTGCAGCTCTCCTGGACTGCTGCATTTCTTCCATGCTTTTAGATCTCATTTATGTACATTGCTTCTTCACAGAAGGGGGAAGCTAGTGAAAACAGGCCCTCTCATGAATTACATTACATTCCTTCTGGGCACTGAGCTTATTCATAACTATCTCAAATTCGTCCCCCTCACGGAATTTAAATGTATTGTAGACAGGCTCCACATCTTTCCCCATAGAATATTAAAGAGAATTAACTTGTACTTCACGACTCTCCTTATCCAGCTTGGATGTAATCCTGAAGCATACAAACCGCTTGCGCGAGGTAAACCATGCGCAAGCTGAGAAAACTCAAATGGCTCAGGTAGAGTAAACTTAAGACATCTAAACAGATTAACAGATGCGCAAGTTAGTACGTCTGACACCATGCCATGAAATGCATATAACACCGTGAGCTGATTTCAACATGTCCTTATTGTAGAGCTTAACTTGAGGAGAGACAGCATCTTCAGGAGAAGGTATTATATTTAAAAAATAACAGTGAGTTTCCCCAGCCACCTCTTGTCCCGTCCCCTTTCTGTGATGTCACTCAGGCTCTCATCACAGTAACCTCAACATTATTTTTTATATAATAATAATTTTATCAAGTTTTGAAAGGATATATATATATGTTAGTGTAAAACAGAATACACATGCACCTTTGGTTAGACAGTGTTTTGAAAACCAACAATTAGTCTTTAGGGTCTTTACTGTTTCTGTGCAGGGAGTGAAACCAGGAAGACCATAGAGACTGTCAGTTTTCAAACACTGTCTGACCCACTGTGTATGTATGTGAATGAAGGATCCTGTCATTTACTAATGGTAGGGGTGAGGTTTTTTTCTCATTTTACATATATACTTCATTTAAAAAAAAAATATTTCTTTTGAAAACTTGATAACTTTATTATATAAAAAAATAGTTTTGTGGTGACAGTTGTCCTTTAAATATAGTTCCTGTGAAGCTGAAGATGCATTGAAAAGAAGTATTAGTTTATATGTATGCATTACAATGTAAAACACATGGGCTGTAATACCTGTAATGTTTTATTGTATAGAGGCACTTTAGGCACATTATTACATCATTGAAGTGGTTATGGTGCTCTAATAATGTCATTACATTCCCAGCCTCCAGTGCGGTGTATTTTGCTCTCTACAAGGCTTAAAGGAAGAGTTTGCAACTCCCCTGTTTCTGAATAGTTTTATTTCACAATGCTTCCTTTTAAAAAGGATTTGATTGGTGGCATGCCCTGCAGCCAACTGAGGTGTTGCCAGGTGGCAAAAAGATCAAATTATTCTGGCCAAGTGTTCATGTTATGACCCCTTTCGCATATATTAACTAAAACCCCTCCTACAACCAAACCCAAACAATAATATGTTTTGTAAATCAAATTGAGAAGCCATATATTTTATTGAATTCAGAGTATTACATGAACCTATATTTATAAACTCCAAACATGCTGTATTAACCCTTCACCCTACTGCATTAAACTCCTGCACCAAAAGCAATACTCACATCCTGTGCTATATAACAAACTCTATTATGCATAAAAAAAGCCACAAATGATTTAATTTGAGGTGTTATTTTTTTATATTCAGGTCTAACATTGAAATGCTGCCAAAATTAGACCTTTTAGGACCTCTCTCAGGGCTCCAGCCTTTTCCTACCAGCATTTAAATTCCACATTTTATGGTCCTATTACTGACAGAAAACCTATATTATTTAAACTAATAATAATAATAATAATAATATAACGATACTCGTGTTTCTTTAAAAAGACAGCCCAGGTTACCTAGGAGACACTGTAAGTGTAGTCTTCATTAGATCATTTCAACTTAAGGTACATATACTACTGTAAAGTGGATCTTAGATCAGCTCAGTTGTCTCATTGTTGGTTTTGATCAATACTTTAATGAAATGTGTTAGGGAACCACAGCAAAATAGTATAATGGAAATATTAATTGAAGGTGTGCTTTCTGTTTCGGCCAATTAGTTTTTTATCCAAATTTAGGCTGGACAACGGTTTGGCTGGATTCCATATTTTTAGAGTGTTATACGGAGCAAACAACAAGCGTGATGGTTGAGCATGTTCGTTTGCTTTGGGAATTGGAGTTCTGTCCATAGCGACACACAAAGATATTATTGATGAGAAAAAAAATGACTGATGGCTAGGGGACAGCCATTAAATTTAGATTTTATTCACAGATCAAGTGAGAAGTGCCAATAGTATAAAAAATATATAGATAATAAATATTTAAAGGGACACTCCATGCACCATAACAAATTTATGTAAATTAAGTTGCTATGGTACCTGGAGGCCCCAAGTGGCACTCTTATCTCAAACCATTCGCAAATGGGTTAACCCCAAAGTTTAAAAAAGAGAAAGGGAAAGGGGACTAAAATAAGTCCTCAGTGAGAGAGTAATGAATGAGGGGAAGGGGGTGAACAAAAAAAGAAAATTAAATTAAATAAAGTAAGCTCGACGCGCGTTTCGGCGTTTCAGCACGGCGTCGTCAGGAGCTTTTCAGCACGCCGTCGTCAGAAACGCGCGTCGAGCTTACTTTATTTAATTTAATTTTCTTTTTTTGTTCACGTTTTTTGGTAGCACTTATGGATTTAGTTGGTTAAATCTTTGCAATTTTTAGGACTTGTAGGGATTAGGTATCCGGGTAGGCATTTGTGGCAACACAGTGCCGAGGTAACTAGAGCAAGCTCTCCATAGATAGGAGTCTGTCTTTGGGAAATTTGGGGTAGTTTTTTACTTCTCCTATAGAGGGTTTTTTTTCACCTCTATATACAGGCTTAGTGTTCTAGCTATTATTATATACCTAGATTGGTTACCTATGAGACTTAGGACGCATGATGCTCAACCTTTTGGTTTAGAATTTGCCAGGCAGTCTTTCTTTCTTATAGTAGACACCTGTTTTCTGTAATTGTCTCTAGATGGTTTACCATTTAAACTCCTTTTTTCCCATCTGTCCTTTTTAATTGTGTTTTCCTTTAGGATTATTAAAGGTAGGGACCCCCTTCCCCTCATTCATTACTCTCTCACTGAGGACTTATTTTAGTCCCCTTTCCCTTTCTCTTTTTTATACTAATTTTGTGGGTTATTCCCCTAATAGGGAGAGTAATCTTAGGGCTTTTTGGCACTAATTCTTTGGTCAGGTATTGTGACCTCTGAATCAGAGTCATCACTATTCTTTTTAACCCCAAAGTTGCCTGCAGCGCCACACTCAACTCCCCCAGGTGGCACCTGGCTTCTGAAATTTAAAAGAGGTAAGTTTCTTTTCAAACATGTTTTGTGAATGGGGAGTTACTGACTAGCTGAGAGTGTCAACTGACTGCTCTTAACCATTCAGCGTCGCCCCCCACCCCTGGCAGCACTCCACACTTCCTGAAACTTAAATTTCTGAAGCCTTTGGTGTTAAACCATTCTCATTTGTTCTGTGTACCAAATAGCAGGAAAAAGCACCTATCAGTGTCCCACAAAATATTTACATAATGTTTGTTCTGCAAACTATATACATACTATTTATATTACATATATATATTCCAGTACACCGATTGGCCTGTTTTCATGCCCTTTTTGTATGTCTAAATAGTTTCTCAAGATCAATTTTCACGGACAATATTCAGACACGTTTTGGGGTACCCAACTAAATCTATATATTTTTAAAAAATAGTTCAGACAAATCAAATTTGTCTGCCATGCACAACTCTAATATCTATTGAAGAAAATTTTGGCATTAGAAATTATTGTACAAAATGTGTAAATTCACAATCTAAAGGTTGCAGTAGTACATCACCTGGAGAAATATTAATGATACATTGTTCTTTTAATAATGTTACAACTGCTTAAAAAGTAATGTCTGCTATTAAAGGGATTCTCCAGTGCAAGGAAAACAAACCCGTGTTCCTGGCACTAGAAAATCCTCGAGTGCCCCCTTCCCTCCTCTTCAGCTACTTACCTAAATCCAGCGCCGATGTCCCTCTGCTCTGGGTCAGGCTGCGCCCACGCTCCTCTCCCGTCAACGTCAGCTGGCAGGGAAATATCAAGTGCGCATGCGTTCCCTATAGGAAAAGCATTATTCAATGCTTTCCTATGGGGAAAATCGGAACCTGGACGAAAATTTTCTCTGGGAAAATCAAGTCTTGACTGGTGTGCAGATCTGTGTTTTGCATTGTATTGACTATCCACTGACTTCATGTGGAAGGGGTTTTCAATCACTATTTTTCCCCACCATCACATTTTGAGAGACACACACACACACACACGCACACACACACTCCCTCACACACTCCCTCTCTCTCTCTCTCTCTTAACCTGTTAGTTTTTTTTTTTTTGTACTAGTAGAAATGATTAATTGGAACATTGATACTAAATATACTAAACCATAAACCAGTGTTGTTTTATCAGTAGAAATAATTACTTCTATTTATTGCTCCTGATAAAAAAAATGCTAGTTACTGAGAAATACTTTGAGCTTTACTTTATTGTTTAATAAATAATTTAGACTTCGAAATGGTTCCTTTCGTGCATCCTCTTGTCTCTTGAGAGAATTTTTAGTCAATCCATATTACTAAAATTTATCTCCCAAGAGATTAGAGTGATTTAATAAACCCCGATATTGAAGTGTTCACAGATTTTCCAAGGGCAAGCTCTGGAATTATAGATCGTAAGTTTACCAGCCACCAAATCAACTAGTTTAGGATCGCTAAATCCATTCAAATTGCAAGCCACCTGTACAGACAAATACGAGTGTTTTTTATCCCTTGTTACATATGGGAAATAAATGTAATGATTACCCACTTGGTGCATAGATCTAAATAAGAGATAAAATAGATATTACATATAACATGTTTAAGTGCTCATCTAAAATGAGTTTAATGAGAAGCTTTATGCTTACTTTAAACTTTTAAACTTTACATTCCATAAGTATGTGTTATACACCCATATACAGAGATTCAGGATGGAATTCCAGGATGGAATTAAAACCCATACCTGTTTAACAAACACTAGTATGAGGACTGAATATAAGATTATGGAAAAGTAAAGGGATTTGTGATCCTTCATCCTGTTGTCACAGGGACTGAGAGAATAAATCATAGTGAGTGCAAACACCTCTTTCATGTGTTTACAAAAGATTTGTAATCCAAATAATCCAAATAAACATGGCATATCAGGGAGAATACATGCAAACATAGGCATAAAAGGTCCCTCCTCCTTCTACACCAGTGTATGTGTGTGGGGGGAAGTGTGTGTATGGGGCAGTGTGTGTATGGGGGCAATGTGTGTGTGTGGGGGCAGTGTATGTGTATGTGGGGGCAGTGTATGTGTGTGGTGGGCAATGTGTGTAGGGGGGCAGTGTGTAAATGTGTGGTGAGGAGGGTAAGGGGGGCTTTTTTAAAATATTTTTTTTTTAATAAATATACATTATGTCTTTTCTTAATCCCTGGTGGTCTGTGGGGTATCCCTGGTGGTCCAAGTGGTGAGAGTAAACTCTAGCCCGTAGTTTTTTTTAAGGATAAACCAACTCATGAGTGCAGAGATAATGCAAGATAATGCAATATTCTTAATTCTAGCTAATTTGATTTTAGGAACACACACTTTTCCACATTGCAGTTCAGCGTATAAAATGAACCTAACTCAGTTAGTCCTGATCCTGCAGGCTGTTCAGGCGAAGAGAGGCTGAACTTCATCTGGTATACCTATGGTGAACATGTAAGATGGCCAAAAAAATAAATAAATTGGTTAGGAAGTAAAATTCCTGTTTGTCCTACTGAGCACAGAAATAAAGACTGAGGTATGGAAGGAGAAGGGACCTTTTATGCCTACAATCTGATTTATTGTTTAAGTGTTCAGTTTCCTGTTCTGGCTAGGGGTGGAGCTACCCATATGTGATGCTGCCATTAATAGACAGAAATTATATATTTATATATAAAGGCTGAAGTAGATGAAGGTATTTAAAAATGGTTCATTTCCCCCTCCCTTTTACTTACCTTGGTCCAGTGAGATGATCCTGATCCCTAGTGGTCCAGTGAGTTAGGTAGCAATTCTGCTCCTCCAGCAGGTGCAGAGTGCTCTCTTCTGTTTCCGCATAGGAAAGTATCAGAGCATTGCCACTGCAGTCCACCAGGCATTTGCACAGTTTGCCCAATATCTAGTCTTAAAGAGGTCTAATGTGTCACCTCTTGTGGCTGAGATATGAAATCTTGCACTGGAGGGTGTGTAGATAGATCCTTCAGCTCTGCAGTAACATCAGTGGTAACATCCAGTTCCACTTCATTCGAGTGAGGTCAGTAAAAATCAGGGCTAACGCCATGTTGAGCTGACGCCCGAAATCTAAGATATTTTTTATTTTCTCTAAAGAAAGAATTTTCATCTGCTTGCTTTATTTCTTCTGGTGGACAAAGTGCATGTAGGAGGTATAAAAGCTTGATAGAATAGGGGGAAAAAATAAGGTATTTTGGCTGATTGCCATGGATCTCATATAATTTGCATCCACTCTCTGAATAAAACTGTGCACAGTTTAGTGGTCATTCTCTTTGTGACCTGTTTGCACATTTATATGATTGGTTCTCTTGCAAGGTCTTCAGAGCAGTTATTTCTGTGTATGTTGTTTTTTCTTTTGCTTCACTACTTGCATCTAACTAAAACTGTCCTTGGATACAGACGTTAGTCAAGCATAGACATGGTTTATATAATGTAAAGTCATAATGATGCAGGTTGATTGATTTCCAATTGAGCTTAGAGGCCACAAGTAGTCTTACATTTTTACTGGGCGGCCAATCGTAAACTAATGTTTACATAGCGAAATATAATAGAAATTATATTTAATATTAAGTATCTAATCAACTGTAAGTAAAAATAAATTAAAACCATCATCAATACAGCCGAAATTATTTTCTAACTACAGAGTAATTAGAATTATTAAGAAATAAAAAAAACATTTGAGCCTTTTCTTTAGTTCTCAAATGTATTAATAAATATTTTGTTGGATCATATACAACACAGAAAAACTGTTTAAGGCTGTGATATTATGAATACTACAGGGCTGGTTTAGAAGTGTATTTGACCAGTTTTGTTGATACACATATACAAAGTGTAAAATTATTAGCATGCAGCTTATTGCTGGACGCTTGACTTGGAGAATAATTTTGGCCAAATTGCAGTTTTGTCAAATTTGGACCAATCATTGGATCAGACAAATTCAGAAGTCCCAGCCAAAGTGTGCCAGAATCGCAAACCAACCAATACGCGCTGTGGCTGATCATGTTTTTTTCGTTTAGTGATTCTGAATTCCGCCAGTGACATCAAAAAAAGAGATAATTGATGGGAAAAAGAGAATTTATTTTTGTCTAGGGACAGTCACTAAATGTTGATTTTTTTTTTGGTAATCTGATTCAATTCCCAAATCAGAATTTCAGCCGGGTGGACCAACATTTGGCCAAAATGTGTTTGTCCCAAAAAATTTTCTAGTTTCAGAAAATAATGATTTAGACTGAACAAAATGTTCATACAAATGTCTACTGGACAGCACTATCCTAGCACTATAATGCAATTATTATTGATAATTTGATAACAATACATACACAAATGTGTCCCTAATTAGGTGAGTAGGTAATAATTATAATCAATACAGAAAAAAAAATAAAAAAAATAAAGCACATAAAACATTGCCCTTCTCTTGATTTTGCTTATTCAGATGTTAAGTAGATAATTTTATTTCGCTGTCCTTGGGATTGCCATATTTAAGAATACTAAATTAAAGAGCTATACTCTAAACTGCTGAAAAATCTAAATTAAGAAGAGCCCTTTTAATTATGCTCTTTCACTTGTTAATTAGATAACTCCCTAATTTGCTAACAAACAAATAGATCCGAAACATACTAACTTGATTAATTATGGATCCATGAGTTTTAATTTCGTTTTCTATCATTTTGCATATTCTGATGCTTCCGAATTACCAAAATTTCCAAAATTACCGAATTCAGACGAAATTCAGATTGAAAACCTATTGCGTATGTCTAATTAAATTAATTATGTGCATATTTCTATATAAAGCATAAAAAAGGAACAATATTGCAGAACTTTGATGTAAAACTTTTTATTACCATATATTAATTGTAAAAAGCTAGTCATATTTACATTTAAAAAAAAAATTGTAAATGCAACGCAAGCTTCTCTCTTACACACTTACTTTTTTATAACTAGTTTTGTTAGTGATTATGTCACCAGTTTGTTGTTTTAGTTTTATCATGTAAAAGATGTGATGCTTTTTCTTTACCTTGTAATGAGTGCATTGCCTTGACTTGATGTGGATCGGCTGCTCTACAGAATCTTACTGTGACCCTATTCAGTTATACCAACTGAAATGTACAAAGTTTGGCATGCATAGCACTATAAATAGACTGACTTGGAACATTCCCCAGTACGAACTTATTCTACCAATGAGTTTTTATTCGTAGTTAAATCCTTTTCAAATGACAGGGGTATAAGTAATATTTTGTCCAATTAATTAATTCACTATTTACATATTACAGATACCGTTCATAGTGCAGCTTTGTTGGGTCCTTACTAACACTTTCAATTTCAGCAATGGCATGTACAATGTGCTACCGTACTGAATCTATAAATTCAGTGGCCCACGTGGAAATCAAGGGGGAATGCTGGTCATGAATATAACAAATGCCAACCAGTGGTCGGAATCACGATTCTCACCTTAGAAAGAACTAACATAGAATGAATGCATACTACAAAACAGAATTTGTAACTGAGAAACACCAACAACCCCAGGCTGCAAATCAATCGGTTTTATACAATATTTCAAATGTGGGTTTCTTATTATTTACTATGTGAATATAAACAATATCTTTAGTGAAAGTATATATATATATATATATGTTAATTTTTGGAGTTGGTTTTAGCAAAAATAATTTGTAAAAAGTTATGTTACATTGAATCTAAGTGTTACGGGGACAGTGATCACTTAATTAGTCCAGGATAGAAACAGGTATTTAGCTTACGGTGGACTTGACATGAACTAGATGAACAAGGTATCTATCAGACCGGCAAATTGAATTCCATGACATGACAATACATAAAGGGATTCAAGGTTTAGTTTAAATAACAAGTAGATATAGGCTTCAAGTGCAAACAACAGGTTGCAGAATTGCATCAATACACTGGACATGGCATAAGATGCCTTGGAGGCTATTAAAAGCAAATTCAAACTTACAGAGATTTCTATGGATATTCACTAAACACCAGATTTTGTCCACATTTTCATAAGCTTCCCAAATAATCCAATACTGTTAGTAAAACCAAGTTATTTATCTCTAGAAGTCACCATTGAAGTATATGAGCTGTTTTGTAGTCAGGTTGGGGCATGTCTACTATACTTTAACCCCTTAACGACACATGACAGAAATATTCCGTCATGATTCCCTTTTATTCCAGAAGTTGTGTCCTTAAGGGGTTAAAAATAGTGACAGGGCAGCCATTGCTGCCCACTCACTAGGAAAGAACCATTGCATGGAGATGGGGCCTGTTAAAGAAGGGTCAGGGTCAGGGCCGGACTGGGGATACAAAGCAGCTCTGGGAAAAAAAATCTATGCCAGCTCCATAAGTCATTGCGCCATATATTGTCGCATGTAATATGTAAGGCTATGTCTTGTCACCCCAGATGATTGAGTAATATATATATATATATATATATATATATTATATATTGCTTTTTCTAATATAAAATATTGGTCATTTCAGAGTAAAACGTTTAATTTTACAGTAAGCATACTCACATGCAGACGCAGACAATCTCACTGACACACACAAGCTCATTGATACACAGCCTCATAGACAAACAATCTCACTGATATACATAAGCTCATTGACATAAAAACACAAGCTCACTCATTAGCAGACACACACACATACATGCAAGAAAGCTCACTCACTAGCAGGCGCACACACACAGCTTAACGTAGTGGTTCTGGTGTCTGAGAAAAGGCAGTGTTTACATTGCTTCCTAGTGACACCTCTAGTGACAGACACTCAGACGGTCACTAGAGGAGCTTCCTGTGTCAGTGCGGATTGGCTGAGATCATCAAGCTTGATGATCTCAGTCATAGAGGCAGGCCCAGTCGAGGGGGGACCAGCACGATGTTGGAAAAAAAAAAAAAGGTGAGTAAAATACTATTTTTAAAAACACACACAGACACCACAACAGACACACACACACCATGACACACACATATACCATGCCAGACACACCATGACACAGACCATGACACAGATGGACACACAAACCATGACAGACACACACACACATACACCATGACACAGACAGACACACACACACCATGATACAGACACACCGTGACACAGACACACACACACCGTGACACAGACACACATGACACAGACAGACACACACACACCATGACACAGACACACACCATGACACAAACACACACACACCATGACACAGACAGACAAACACACACCATGACACAGGCAGACAGACACACACACACACACCATGACAGACAGACAGACACACACACGACAGACACACACACAGCATGACACAGACACACACACACCATGACACAGACACACACACCATGACAGAGAGACACACACACAGCATGACACAGACAGACACATGCACACACACCATGACAGACAGACACACACAGCATGACACAGACAGACACACACACCATGACACAGACAGACAGACACACACACACCATGACAGACAGACACACACAGCATGACACAGACACACACACTCCCACTGACAGACTGACAGACTGACATACATACTTTTTGCTACCTGTGGGTGGGCAGACAGATAGGTGTGCTGGCAGCCGCAGGGAGAACTTGGATGGCGGCCGCAGGGGGAGCTCTTCTGACGGCTGCAGGAGGAGCTGGCTGTGCTGTCTCTGCTCCCCAGCACGCAGCTTCATGAGACCGGTCTAATTAAGTAGCGCGCGAGGGTGGGGGAGCAGAGACAGAACAGCCTGCTCCTCCTGCGGCCGTCATCCAAGTTCTCCCTGCGGCGCCATCCAAGTTCTCCCTGCGGCCGAGGTCACCCAAATGTCTCCCCAGCCCCAGATGCTGACGGCCCACAGGGAAATTTCCCGGTATCCCGGTGGGCCAGTCCAGCCCTGGTGAGAGGACATAGTCCCCCCTGTAACCAAACCCATTGGCAGCTGTTCGGAGTGCTAACAATTTTGTTGGAGCTTTTACAACACAGAAAAACTTTTAAGGCTGTGATATTATGAATACTACAGGGCTGGTTTAGAAGGTATTTGACCAGTTATGTTGATACACATATACAAAGTGTAAAATTATTAGCATGCAGCTTATTGCTGGACACTTGACTTGGAGAATAATTTTGGCCAAACTGCAATTTAGTTGAATTTGGGCCAATCAGTGGATTAGTCAATTCAGAACTCCCAGCCAAAGTGTGCCAGAATCGCAAACCAACCAATATGCGCCTTGGCCGATCATGTTTGTTTTGTTTAGTGATTCTGAATTCCGCCTGTGACACCAAAAAAAGAGATAATTGATGGGAAAAAAATTGATAAGGTGAATGGGGTGGTCTGTTAGGGAGTTTATATTTCGACTGAATTGTTCAGAGAGGCATATGATTTTTAACCCCAGGGGGAGTGTGTGTCTGTGTGTATATAACTTAAATTAATATTTAGTTATGGGCCCCTGGTGTGGAGCATTTGGAGAGCAGGGTGGGCCAGTGCTCCACTCCGCTGTTTATTGTTTTGTTCCTGGGAGATTAGGTCCAGACCAGGGTTTGGACTGTCTCCAACCCACTGCTCAGCTGCAGGTAAGCAGCTGCGGCAGTGGGAATAAACGCCTCCCTGCTAGGCAGGTACGGGAGAATGTTTGTTTCTCTCTTGAAGGGCTGGAAGCAGCAGGCTGACTAAACACTGGAGTGCAGAGAGCTGACAAAGACACTAGGTTGGTGAAACTAATATTGTTTTGTTATAGTTTAACCCCTGAGAGATAGGGAATCTGATGTTAGTTAGTGCTCAGATGAGCTAGGTTTTTGTTTATAGTGTTACATTATTGTTTTTTTTTTTCATGTGCTGTTGTCTCTGTGGTGAAGCTCAACAATAAAGTGCCTGGAATTATGTTACTTTTAAGAGAGATATCAGCTATGCCTCACTGATGATGCCTAACAAGGCTGAAACGATCGTCTGGGGTTGCTGTATCTCTCATGCAGAGAGAACTTGCTGGCATTTTGGATCTGGACTGCCCGTATGGGTGGGACCAGTCTGATATGCTTCAGATATGTTCTCTCTGTAATGGCACAAGATGAGCTAAAACCAGCTTGAGTTCTGAGTGGGGACCCACCGAAGGGCAGGCTATTTTAGCTGCTGTTCTTTCTCAGAATACTCTTGAGACCCGTTTTTTGCACTTTTAAAGACTGTGCACGTTTGTACCCAAAAGGACCCTGCTAACTGCAGACGAGGATCACAATATATATTACAGGCCTACCGCGTACGTCGGTTTCAGCACACTTCAACCGACTTGGTCATACCTATGGTTACACCTTACTATACATACGTTACAAGAATAGCACCGAATACAAATATATATATATATTTAATAATGTATAAATATAGGGTTTTTCTTTACTGATTCTCCTGTTGTTTCCTCTATTGTTTACAAAATGGCAGGAAAATGCTTCTATTAGTGTACTACAAAATATATACATAATATTATGTATATATTTGTAGAACAATGTTTGGTCAATTTTTATGCCCTTTTTGTTATTCTGATCCAATTCCCAAATCGGAATTTCAGTTCTGAAATTCAGACGAATGGACCAACATTTGGCCAAAATGTGTTCCCCCCAAAAAAATTCTAGTTTCAGAATTCTAGTTTCAGAAAATAAAGATTTAGAATGAACAAAATGTTCTCATCATGCAAATGTCTACTGGACAGCACTATCCTATCACCATAATGCAATTATTATTGATCATTTAAAAAAATACGCACACAAATGTAGTAGTAGTAGTAGTAGTAGTAGTAGTAATAATTAGAGGGAGGGGCAAGTGTTCCCCACCAGCCCCCATGGACGGCTTTTACGCTAACTAATTCCTAGATTTTACTATTAACATGACGTAAAGTCATGATTTTATTAATGACACGGAGGCGAGTATTATGCTTCTCTTTCTTTAATTTTCCCTCAGCAGCGAAGAGAGAAATGAGTAAAAAGAGAAAATAGCATATCATTAACATATATACATATTCAACAGTGCTACATAAGGGAACCTCCCCCTTTCAGTATATAAGGTGTAGTACTC